CCTGAGACATGGCCTCCTTTAATTACTTTTCTCCCCGACATCCTCCAAAAAGAAGGGGATTTGGTAATCGGAGTCTGCAGGTTCCTTGCAGATAGGAGCAGTCAATTTTGCCTACTTGTGCTGCTCCGTACCGTTATGCAAACAGCAATGATGTTTGCATAAACACTGTGTCAGCTCTGATTTATGATGTCCCTATCCTAGGGTTTGCTTGGCAAGATTCTTTCAGAGGTGGTTTGCCATTGCCTGAGCAGAAATTCAATCCTTTCTCTCCCCAAATCCTTATGTAGGACTCAAATCATTGCAATTTTTGCAGTGTAGCTCGTTTCTGTGTGTGTGTATATATGTGCCTTTGAGTCACCTGTTGATTTATGGCAACCCAATAATTTTGTAGAGTTTTCTAAAGCAAGGAATACTCAGTTTTATATGTTGTCATCGTTGGAATCACCGGGTTGCTGTGCTCCCTCTGTCAGCTCCAGCTCCTCATGCGGGGACATGAGAGAAGCCTCCCACAAGGATTGCACCATACCACTATATCGTAATATTATTAGTAATATTACATGTAATATAAATATATAATTATAATGTATTATTATTATTATTATTATTAGTAGTAGTAGTATATTGTATTACATTATAATATTATAAATATTATTCGAACAGCACAGGAGACAAGGTGGAACTGTCCCCTGGCCCCCTCTCTCTTCACTCTGGCCCAGAGTGGCAGTTGGTGCTGAGGAGAAGGGTCTCCAGCTGATGACATATTGTAGTGAAATTGCTACTCTATATTAAAGTTTTGGTGTATATCTCTATGTTTACAAATGGCAGATAGGGAAGAATAGGCACAGACAGGGTAGCAACAGCAGAGATAGGATTCATTTGCATATGTGAAGCCGATTGGTCATATGCAGATTAGTGTAGGCCCAGGATTTGAAAAGGCTGTTAGGCCAAAATGACAGTTGGGGAGAGCAGAACTGAACATTCCAAAGGGGCGGAGCTAAGGTTCTGAAAGAGGCAGTTAGAGTGAGGGAGTTTGAAAATGACAGTTAGGAATCTGTGTGTGAAGAGGAGAGAGGGTTTTCGAGTGCCTGATAGAAATAAGCAGTTATGAAGATGTGTTAAAGACTTCTGATATAGAGAAGCAGTTAGCTAAATAGAGCTTGAGTTTTAAGGAACATAAAGAAGGCTAGTGTTGCCTTAGTTCAGAATATAATTCAGCCAAGAGTGTGTAAAGCAAGTAACATGTTTGTGAATGTGAAACATTGATAGTTCATTCAGAAAAGTTAACCAAGTAAATGATACTGACTGTAAGCCTCAAGATTGCAACAAAACACAAATGTAACCACAAGCGTTGGAGCCAGAAGTTATAAATAAACTGTGTTACTTCGTTATACACAAGAGTGTTTCATTGCCTGTGATATAAAGTACAAAGGTTCAACAGCATACAGAAAGTCCCAGCCAATATAAAAGAAGAAACTGAACTAACATATGGCAGCAAAGTGGTTTTTAAAAGAGGAAATAGTCTCTCTCCCACACCACACATATCCATAATAATAATATAATAAAATCATAGGGAATCCAAAAGGGTCCCCAGTCATCGTTGTCATCATCATCATACAGTTGGAAAATGGGTTTATATATGTCCAGGGTATGTATGGCAAGAACGGTTTTCCTATGGATGGACCTTTGTTTTGACTCTCGTGGCTTGTTCTTGGTTTGGTGATGCCTATAAAGGCTATGCAGATGGCAATACAATCAATCCCACCATCTGACACTAAATTATAAAGGCACGTCGTGTGGCCAAACAATAACTGGACAGGGGGCAAACAGATCCCACCAACTGTCCCTCCAATATAAGGAATTTACACCACTTTGGCACCTATAGAACGTTTGAGGGGATTGTCTCACTAATTAAACTTTCGCTGCCACCATAACTAAATGTACAGGAACACTCTAGCTATTCAAAATGATAAAAGGGTTTTTAAAGACCACCAAGTACTAGGTTGTATTAGTTTCTTAGTTAAAGGAAGCAGGTGAGGTTGAATGAAAAGACTATGGCCACAAATGGCACACTGGACTCAGGCTTCGAAGTTTCAAAAAATAAACAAGGAAGTTTATTGATATAGTACAGAATGAAGTGAATGCAGTTTAATAAGCTTGGCTGTTACAGATAAAATGTTCTTGTTCTTGAAAGCGTAACAGTTGCCTGAGAATGGTTCTTTCTTTGTTACAAATATAAAACCCAGCTATTTCTTCTCCTAAATAGCTGTACCCAGTTTGCCACAGCTTACTTCGCTGGCAAACTTCAGGCAAACTGCCTGTTCTAATCACGAACTCCTAAAAGCTTCTGTAGTCCTGCTCTAACTCTAACATCAACAGACTGACTCCCTGAAAAGGCTTCTTTCTTTCCCTCCAAACAGTCTAACTCCGCCCCCCTTCAACAAACCAATCCTGGCTGCTCCAAGGCTGGCCCAGGCCTAGGCCACTCCCCCTCTCTGAAATGGAGCTTTCCCTAAACTAAAATGGCTCCTGCTGCCCTCTGCCAGGCCTTCTAAGGCTGAAACTAACTAGCCTGCCTCTCCTAGGCCCTGCCACCCAGGCTGGCAAGGTAAGGGATCTTCACAATGCCCAGCAAACACGCTCCAAAACAGCAATTGAATCCCAGGAGAAAACTGAAACCATGTGAGCCAGCTAACATCTCTCTGTGTGTCTCTTCAAGTCACCTGTCTCCTTACAGTAACCTTATGAATTCCATAAGGCTTTCTTAGGCAAGGAATACTCTGATCTCTGCCAGGCTTAAAATAAGTTAAAGCAGGCATAAAGGAGAAAGATGGTTGATGAGCGAATTGCTGGCTCTCAAGGATGCTTCATTTCGGGTGAAATGTGCCCTTTCCTGCAGAGCATAAGCTGGGCATTAGAGCCATGTTGTGCCAGTACCAGAATGGGAGCAAAGTAAAGGGTCTTACAGATCGAAATACGCCTTTATTTCCATCCCGCTGAGTGCCTTTTGAGTCCTAAAATGTGCTGGCTACCTTGAAGCTAGGAACAGTGCGGGGGATTTGGCAGAATCACCTTCCAGCATGTTTTGAAGCTCCAATGACTCATTCCGCTGCTTCTGAGCCTCTTTGTCTCTCCCCCTCCCCTCCTTTTCCCACCCCAGAATTCAAAATCAGAACACAGGTATCTCTCGGTTAACAAAGCCAGTGTGTTCCTGGACGTGACTTCTTTTGGCAGGAGAATTGGTGCCAGGAAGAGAAATTACATGGAAAGAACAATAGGCAGTTCAGTGTGTTTCAGAACTATAGTGTTTCAGAACGAACGCACATATGAAATGAAGCAAACAGGTCAGCTCAGTCTGGCGGAAGTGAACAAAATTATTTTGAATCTTCCCAATACTAACTATGTGAAGGCTTGTTCTAAAATGTATCCAGGGATTATCATAGAACCATTGAGTTGGAAGAGACCTCGTGGGCCATCCAGTCCAACCCCATTCTGCCAAGAAGCAGGAAAATTGCATTCAAAGCACCCAAACAGATGGCCATCCAACCTCTGTTTAAAAGCCTCCAAAGTAGGAGCCTCCACCACATGCCGGGACAGAGAGTTACACTGCTGAACAGCTCTCACAGTTAGGAAGTTCTTCCTAATGTCCAGGTGGAATCTCCTTTCCTGTTGTTTGAAGCCATTGGTGGTCCATGCCCTAGTCACCTCTAGGTTTGTTTATTTATTTATTTACAGTATTTGTATACCGCCCTCTCATCCTTCTGGCGACTCGAGGCAAAATTCAATACCACCAAAAACACAGTTACAATAGAAAAACAGTTACAATAGAAAAACATCAATAAACAGCTGCAATAAAACATAATTCAATAAATACCCTAAAACAATGTCCATTACATTTTTATTTATATAGATCAGTGGTTCTCAACCTTCCTAATGCAGCGACCCCTTAATACAGTTCCTCATGTTGTGGTGACCCCCAACCATAACCCTAACATTATGAATCACCATGTAAATAATGATCTGCAGGATGTATTTTCATTCACTGGAGCAAATTTGGCACAAATACCTGGTATGCCCAAATTTGAATACTGGTGTGGTTGGCGAAGGGATTGATTTTGTCATTTGGGAGTTGTAGTTGCTGGGATGTATAGTTCACCTACAATCAAAGAGGATTCTGAACTCCTCCAGTGATGGAATTGAACCAAACTTGGCACACAGAACTCCCATGACCAACAGAAAATACTGGAAGGGTTTGGTGGGCATTGACCTTGAGTTTGGGAGTTGAAGTTCACCTACATCCAGAGAGCACTGTGGGCTCAAACAATGATAGGTATAGGCCAAACTTGGCACGGATACTTAATATGCCCAAATGTGAACACTGATGGGGTTTGGGGAAAATAGACTTTGACATTTGGGAGTTGTACTTGATGGGATTTATAGTTCACCTACAGTCAAGGAGCGTTCTGAACCCCACCAATGATAGAATTGGGCCAAACTTCCCACACAGAACCCCCATGACCAACAGAAAATACTGTGTTTTCTGATGGTCTTTGGCGACCCCTCTGACACCCCTTCACAATCCCCGCAGGGCTCCCGACCCCCAGGTTGAGAAACACTGATATAGATGCTCTCCATGCTAATGCTGCCAGAAGACTTCTGAGTTGTCAGAGGATGAGGGGTTTATTGGAATACAAAAAGACTTCATGAAGAAGAGTGTGTCAAAGTGTACACATATAATTGTTGGAACTAGCAGAATACCCTCATTGTGCTTCGAACATCTTCTCCAATGCTGTAGATCAGGCATCCTCAAACTGCGGCCCCCCAGCTGTTTCAGCCTCCAACTCCCAGAAGCCCTAACGAGCTTGTTCAATTGTCAGGAATTCTGGGAGTTGAAGGCCCGAACAGCTGGAGGGCCGCAGTTTGAGGATACCTGCTGTAGATTGATAATGACCTTCCATAGCCCTTCTTGTTGTTTTCTCCTTAACAAAGCCTCTTCTTTACAGCTTCTTGCGAGTTGCTTGAATGCTGCTTGCATTGGACTAATGGATGCAGGGCTGCCCATGAGTTCCTTGTTCTGCGGAGTGACCTGCGCCTTGGACGCCGATGGCAACCTCACCCTGGATCCCACGGCGAAGCAAGAAAAGGTGGGTGCAGAATCAAGTGCCGTGGCTCTTTCAGGTCGTGGAGAAATCCTTCAGCTTTTCTTAATCTTGATGCTTAAGGGACAGAAAGCCAGGGCGGATTGGTCTCTCAGTGGGGATATGTCTAAAGCAGTGCTTCTCAACCTTCCTAAAGCAGTGACCCCTTAATGCAGTTCCTCATATTGTGGTCACCCCCAACCATAACATTACTTTCATTGCTGTTTCATAACTGTAATTTTGCTACTGTTATGAATCGGAACATAAATATCTGATACGTAGAATGTATTTTCATTCATTGGACAAAATTTGGCACAAATACCTGATGTGCCCAAATTTGAATACTGGTGGGGTTGGGGGGGATTGGTTTTGTCATTTGGGAATTGTAGTTACTGGGATTTATAGTTCTCCTACAATCAAAGGGTGACTAAAACGATCAGGGGTCTGGAGAACAAGCCCTATGAGGAGAGGCTTAAAGAGCTGGGCATGTTTAGCCTGAAGAAGAGAAGGCTGAAAGGAGACATGATACCCATGTATAAATATGTGAGAGAAAGTCAGGGAGGAGGGAGCAAGCTTGTTTTCTGCTTCCCTGGAGACTACAACGCAGAACAATGGCTTCAAACTACAAGAAAGGAGATTCCATCTGAACATTAGGAAGAATTTCCTGACTGTGAGAGCCGTTCAGCAGTGGAAGTCTTTGCCCCAGAGTGTGGTGGAGGCAATATATACAAATGAACAATCAGGATACGCAGATCCACTTTCAAACAAACAGATTGTCAGAGTCGCATACAGAATATATACTCACAATGAGTCACACAGGAGAGAGAAAGATGGAACCTTTCATCCACCTGCTGACAGATCATCAGTAAGGAACACTGGCTAATGTAGCATTGTACCTCGCATAGTTATGACTCAGCCCATTACCACATCCCCTTAGGTATTTCAGCATGACATTCACAGTCAATACCCAGGTGCTATTGATATTCCACATGTTCATCAAACAGTATTTTTCTTTGACTAGAAATGCTGTGCTATTTCTATCTAACAAATGGCAATCCATCCTGGACCCCTTGGCAAAGCAGGAAAAGGTGGGTGCTCAAACATTATTTAAAAATAATAATAGTAGACTCTGCAAGGAAGCCGATGAAATGATAGATCACATCCTCAGCTGCTGCAAGAAGATTGCACAGATAGACTACAAGCAGAGGCATAATACTGTTGCTCAGATGATTAATTGGAAGTTTGCCTGTGACAAACTGGTGGGATCACAAGCCTGAAAAAGTTACAGAAAATAAACACATTAAACTACTCTGGGACTTCCAAATTCAGACTGACAGAGTTTTGGAGCACAATATTCCTGACCTCACGATCGTATTAAAAAACCAAATATGGATCGTCAATGTTGCGATCCCAGGGAACAGCAGGATTGAAGAGAAACAACTGGAAAAGCTGACACGATATGAGGATTTAAAGATTGAACTGCAAAGACTCTGACACAAGCCAGTCAAGGTGGTCCCAGTGGTGATCGGCACACTGGGTGTAGTTCCTAAAGACCTTGGCCTGCACTTAAACACAATCGGCGCTGACAAAATTACCACCTGCCAGCTGCAAAAGGCCACCTTACTCGGATCTGCACGCATCATTCGCCGATACATCATACAGTCCTAAACACTTGGGATGTGTCCGACACGTGATTCAATACAACAGCAAGCATAGTGATCTTGTTTGCTGTGTACTAATCTTGTGTTTCAAATTATTATTATTATTATTATTATTATTATTATTATTATTATTATTATTAGCTGTCCCTTGCCAAGCGTTGCTGTGGCCCAGTCTGGTGATCTGGAAAATAAAGTACAGTAATGAGAAAGTGTTGGTTTCTAATATATGTAATTTCTTTATGCTTGTGGGTAAAGAGTATTTCTTGCTCCTTCTTTATCTGGTTTGCCTGCTCTGGAACATGCATACTGTATCTGTGTGTGTGAATCATATTTATCTATCTATATCTATGGCTGGATGGCTCTTTGTCAGGAGGGCTTTGATTATGTTTTCTTGCCCTGGTGCAGGGAGCTGGACTGGATGACCTTAAGTATTTTCTGTTGGTCGTGGGGGTTCATTGTGGGAAGTTTTCCCCAATTCTGTCGTTGGTGGGATTCAGAATGCTCTTTGATTGTAAGTGAACTACAAATCCCAGCAACTGCAACTCCCAAACGTCAAGGTCTATTTCCCCCAAACTCCATTTGTGTTCATATTTAGGCATATGGAATATTCGTGTCAAGTTTGGCCCAGATCCATCATTCTTTGAGTCCATAGTGCTCTTTGGATGTAGGTAAACTACAACTCCAAAACTCAAGCTCAGTGCCCACCAAACCCTTCTAGTATTTTGTATTGGTCATGGGAGTCCTATGTGCTACATTTGGTTCAATTCCATCATTGGTGGAGTTCAAAATGCTCTTTGATTGTAGGTGAACTGTAAATCCCAGCAACAGCAACTCCCAAATGACAAAATCAGGTTTATTTTAGTGATGGTCACAAGGTGTCTTGTGGCCAAATTTGGCAGAAATACATCCAGTGGTTTTTTGGTTATGTTAATCCCACAAATGAACATTACATATTTATTTATATAGATTATTATTCAACTCCAGGATCAACTGGATTCTCTTGCAACTATCTCAAGGAAGAGCATCCTTGGTCGGCAGGTATCATGTTTCGGTGCTAGCTATTATTCAGAGTCTCTTCCACTCCGCCGCCCCCTCCCTGCTTAGTCACCCAAGAGGCACAAATTGAGCCACGTGCGGCACACAAAAGCACCACGGCCCTATCATTGTTCCCCTTATCTGCTCCCGTGAGTGAACCGTTTACTGTGGCCTGGCAGGTCAATCGCTTTCTGGATGCCCTGATTCCGGCTGCCTCTCCTAATGGTTTTCCTCGTTTATCGGGAGCCAGATTCAATCCATCGCCAGCTGCCTTCCTTACCCAGGACTCTCCTTCATCAACTGCAGTTTGGCTCCGCATCCTTTTCGATTCCCTGCCAAAAACTCTTGCCTGATTTGGACGGTCTCTCTGTCTCCAGAGAGAAAACCAGGCAGAGAATAATAGTAAGAGAGGAGCAAGTAAGAATTTCAAGCCTGGCCCAGTGTCCAAGACCAGCGTGGCCTCTGTATTGCACAGATTATTTTCTCTGCCCTTTTTTTATATCCCTTTTTAGTGTGTTGCTGATTTTGAAATGTAAACAACAGATCCTCCGTTGAATTTCTGGGGGAAATGGAGCCTGCAGACTAAGCACTGCAGAAATCTGTGACCAGATGCAACCTACAAACATTTAAAAAATACATCTTGCTCTGCTGGAGAACTGAAGAATAATTTTACAGTTGGCTGTACCGAGAATGCCTGGGGAAAAATGCAAAAGGGGAAACCAATTAGGTGCAAGAATAATTCGATGAATAATTCCTGGAGTGTTTTGAATATATTTGTTTGCGGGAGTTCAACATTTGAATAGATGCATCTCTGGCTAGGATTCCATTTACAGGAGAGATGTGTCTCCCAAGTAGGACAAAAATGCGAGTCCTGAGCTACTTTGGGAAAAAAAATATTACGTTCAGCCTAGTTTCATAAATAGGCGATACAAGAACATACTCCATGGAAAATATGCTTTAAAACAGTCCAGTGGTTCTTTGTCACTCTGGCAGAGAGCATAAACCAGATGGTTAATCATGAGTCTTAATTATTTTCAACTGCACTCTGAATATATATATACACACAAACTATATGTACTGGCAAGGATGCTCAGAGTAGGTTACAAAAGAAGTATCATAAAAACAAGCCACTAAAGCATAAGTAAATCCTTCCACAGAAACTAAACTGTGTTAAATTACTGAACATTAAAACAGCAGCAGGAGGAAAGCCAAACTGAAACGACCACAACCAATTCAATCAGTTAGGTTCAGACAGCGGAAAATTGGAACAGAAAGTCCAAGAGAATAATGCAGCCTTCTCCGGGTGCCGAAACAGGAGCAGCGTGGGTGCCAAGTGGATGTCTTTGGGGAGTATGTTCCAAAGTCATAGTGGTATTACAGGAAAATGGAATCTCTCGAAAAGATCAAGAAATGGGATATGCATATTTAACTAGGGTCTTGATTTAAGCAAGTGGATCCAAATGGTTGAAATTGGTTCTTAGCAAATAATAATAATAATACAAGGGTTGAATAAAACGTAATGCCCCCACCTTCGTAACTCCTCAACGGATGGCAGTACTGGTATGCAGCAGGTACTGGCTTGTTCAGTAGACTCTCCTCTACAGTTCCATTTTGGCAAAAAGCGTTAGCATTGAACAGTTGTGTTGTTAAAGTGCAAAGTAATGCTACCCTTCTATTCTGCCTTGGTTAAACCACACCTGGAATATTGTGTCCATTTCTGGGCACCACAATTGAAGAGAGATATTGACAAACTGGAATATGTCCAGAGGAGGGCGACTAAAATGATCAAGGTTTTGGATAACAAGCCCTATGAAGAGCGGCTTAAAGAGGTGGGCATGTTTAGCCTGAAGAAGAGAAGGCTGAGAGGAGACATGATAACTATGTGGGAGGAAGTCACAGGGATGAGGAAGCAAGCTTGTTTTCTGCTTCCCTGGAGACTAGGACACGGAACAATGGCTTCAAACTACAAGAAAGGAGATTCCATCTGAACATTACGAAGAACTTCCTGACTGTGAAAGCTGTTCAGCAGTGGAACTCTCTGCCCCGGAGTGGAGGCTCCTTCTTTGGAGGCTTTTAAAGAGAGGCTGGATAGCCATCTGTCAGGGGTGCTTTGAATGCAATATTCCTGCTTCTTGGCAGGGGGTTGGACTGGATGGCCCATGAGGTCTCCTCCAACTCTAGGATTCTATGATTCTAATGTATGGAACCCTGCGCAGACGGTCGGTCAATGCGACATAACCAACGTGCAGTCATTGAATTCTTGACAGCAGAAGGTGTCACCCCAAAAGAGATTCATCAGAGAATACAAGCTGTTTATGGTGATTGTGTTGATGTGAGTACTGTGCGTCATTGGGTGAGTAAGTTTAAAGATGTTGAGGTAGGAATATCTGACTTGCGTGACAAACAAAGAGTAGGATGTCCTGTGACAGCAACCACTGAGTTTCACAAGCAAAGGGTTGACAGATTGATTCAGGACAATTGTCATATCACTCAGAGAGAAATTTCAAGCATAATCGGCATTTCACAAGAACGTGTGGGTCTCATTATTGCTTTGCTTAGCTATCAGAAGATCTGTGCACGATGGATACCCAGGATGCTGACGCCTGAAATGAAAGCGCACAGACTTGAAACTTCAGAGACTGGATCTCACCACCGTACAACATTCCCCATACAGTCCAGATTTAGCACCGTCTGACTTCCATCTGTTCCTAATATTGAAAGAAGATCTGTGGGGACATCATTATGCTTCTGATGAAGACGTTGAGAGAACTGTGAGATGCTGGTTGTGGAAACAGAGTGTCGACTTCTTCCGTGACGGCTTCAGAAAACTTGTTCATTGTTTGTAGAAATGTATCCAATTGTCTGGTGGTTATATGGAAAAGTGAATAGTGGTAGTTAAAGAGCACATTCTTAGGATTATTTCAGTGTTTGATTTATTAAAATATTCCCATCTCAACCCAAGTAATGAATGTGGAGGCATTACTTTTCATTCAACCCTCGTATGGTAAGAATACTTTCCCTCCGGGTGGATCTTCCTCTTTCCTCTCATGGCTTGTTCTTGGACTTGCAGCTCTTCTGATGTCTTTGGTGGCCTATAGAGTCCATCTCCTAACCACCATGGTGCTTACCTTCCTAAGACCTATAGGCTGCATGTCTTTGTATTTTGTGTTCTCCTTTCTTGGAAGACAATTTCACCACCTCCAGGTTGCAGATTCCAGCCTCTAGGTCTTGATTGTGTTGACTTATCAGTTTTTCTTTGTTTCCTACAGGAAGCTCAGGCAGTCCTGACGTTTGCTATTGACAGCATTGAGAAGAAAGTCCTGATGTCCAGCACGAAGGGGACATGTTCGGTGGAACAGGTAAGCTTGGCTCAGCTGTACATATTGAAACACTTCCAAAATCAATATGTTATTTATTACCAGTCCCTGTCAAAGTCTGTTTCTGATCCTTTTCTTAGGGCGCTTCATTTTATTTGTATAAAGTGCATATTTAACTAAGAGGTTTCAAGGGAGTGCATATCTTTTGGGCAATTACAATTTCAACTTCAAATAAGCAACCATCCTTCTGCTGACCAAATATATTTTTGTAGTGGCGTGTCTTTATCCTTGGCAGTTTAAAGACATGGTTCTTCAGTTTAACAGCTGAGTTACCTGTGTGCCATCACATGAATGCTTGTGAATATCACTTGTTCAAAGGTTTGACTTCTAACAAGGTCATGTTTTTCTTGACTAATGGATCCCAAAAGGTGGTCTCCACATGTTCATGGAGATTCACATTTGCCAAATGGATGTGACATTGTTTTTACCTTTTCAATAAGGTTATGGTGGAGTTATTTCCAATAGTTTATGGAATTTCCAGTACATGACACATTGCATCTCAACACGGAACACACCATTGGTCTGAGAAATGGTAGTTTGGCTAAGACAGCATTACTCAACCTGGGGTTTGGGACCCTGGGGGGGGGTCACAAGGGGTGTCATTGGGGTCACCACAGACCACCAGAAAACACAGTATTTTCTGTTAGTCATGGAGGTTCTGTGTGGGAAGTTTGGCCCAATTCTGTCGTTGGTGAGGTTCAGAATGCTCTTTGATTGTAGGTGATCTATATATCCCAGCAACTACAACTCCCAAATGTCAAGCTCTTTCCCCCCCAAACCCCACCGATGTTCACACTTGGGCATATTGAGTATTCGCGCCAAGTTTGGTCCAGATCTACCATTGTTTGAGTCCACAGTGCTCTCTGGATGTAGATGAACTACAAGGTCAATGCCCACCAAAACCTTCCAGTATTTTCCGCTGGTTATGGCTGGGGGTCACCACAACATGCACAACGGAGGACCTTCTTACAGCAACACCAGAGGCACTCCAAGTGGCCAGCTACTGGTGAAAGGACATTTAATCAACCACCAAGCTTGCAAACTTTGTGCTTTGCCTGTTGGTTTGTTTGTTTTGTTAAAAATGTAATACAAATGTCTGGTTGCTCCTGACACGATAAATAAATAAATACCACAACATGAGGAATTGTATTAAAGGGTTGCAGCATTAGGAAGATTGAGAAACACTGAGCTAAGAAGCAAATAAGTGAAATAGTTAGAAAATATCCTTAGCCGAAAATGTAATTTGCTGGCCACACTTACTCGTTGCTATGTGAGGCTTCATAGGATCATTTGAGATATTTATAAAAATAGTTCCCATGTCAACTTGTGACGTAGTGTGTGTATGTATATATATTTATATGTGCCTTCAATTGACCTGTTGATTTATGGCATTCCTATGGTTTTTGCAGGGCTTAATTAGTCAAGGAATAATCAAGAGGTGGATTTCTCATTTTTTTCCCAGTTTGTTCTTTTGAAATATAGCGTTCGTTGTTGTTGTTGTTGTGTGCCTTGAAGTACTGTTAGTTTCTGACCCCATCACAGGGTTTTCTTGCCACAATTTGTTTAGACCAGGCATGGGCAAACTTGGGCCCTTCAGGTGTTTTGGACTCCCAACTCCCACAATTCCTAACAGCCTCAGGCCCTTTCCTTTTCCCCCTCAGTCACTTACGCAAAGTGCTTTTGTGGAATGTGGCCTTCAGACATGTGGCGGCTGAGGGGGAAAAGGAAGGGGCTTGAGGCTGTTAGGAATTGTGGGAGTTGGAGTCCAAAACACCTGGAGGGCCCAAGTTTGCTCATGCCATTTGCCTTTGGCTCCCTATCAGGCTGAGAGAGTGTGACTTGCCCAAGGTCACCGGTGTAGTTCACGGATGAGCAGGGATTGTCATCTCATGCTCGAACCATCGCACAATGGTTTGGATCCCCATTTTTAAGAAGTCTTCCCTGCCACTTTTCTGCTGGGGTGACCACAACAACTTGCAATTTCAGATACGAAGACCAGAAAAATTAAATGTCATGCCACAGAGTTATTTCAAGCCAATGATATAATTTCCAGGACTCAAGCCTCAGATTTTTTTTTTAATCGTTTGCTTTCCATAGACTTTATAACCCGCGTTGACCGTATCGCACAGACTTATTGGATTTTTCCTGCAGGTGTCAGATATACTAAACTCAGCCTTGGGAGATAACTCCCATCCCAGATTTTCTGCTTTGGGTGATAACACCGAGCAGCGCTGTGAATATGCTGTGATTGTGCAGTGCAAACATGGTATTTGGTGCAGGATGCCATCACTTACTGTTTTGTGAATTTCAGCTGTTTTTTTCTAAAGGATTTCCAGTTCCTTCAGTTACAAAATTAGCCTTCAGAGATATAAATAAAAATGTAATGTTTGTTTGTGGATTACCATAACTCAAAAACCACTGGACGAATTGACACCAAATTTGGACACAATGTACCTATCAGGACAACAAGCGACCATCACTCATAAAAAACACTGAAAAACACAGCAGAAGAGACTTAAAAAGGCAAAAAATAAAAAATACATTACAATGCATGCACAAAACCTCATATATACACATATACACAAATATATACACATACATATATACACACACAAACAGACTGGGCCACAGCAACGCATGGCAGGGGATGGCTAGTGTGCGTGTGTGTGTGTGTATATATATGTGTATATATATATATATATATACACACACACACACACACACACACACACACACACACACACATATACTAGCCGTCCTTTGCCACGCGTTGCTGTGGCCCACTCTGTTGGTCATGGGGGTTCTGTTTGGGAGGTTTGGCTCAATTCTATCATTGATGGGGTTCAGAATGCTCTGTGATTGGTGAACTACAAATCCCAGCAACTACAACTCCCAGATGTCAAGATTCTATTTTCCCCAAACTCCACCAGTGTTCGCATTTGGGCATATTGAGTATTTATGCCAAGTCTGGTCCAGATCCATCATTGTTTGAGTCCACAGTGCTCTCTAGATGTAGGTGAACTACAACTCCAAACACAAGGTCAATGCCCACCAAACCCTCTCAGTATTTTCTCTTGGTCATGGGAGAACTGTGTGTCAAGTTTGGTTCAATTCCATCGTTGGTGGAGTTCAGAATGGTCTTTGATTGTAGGTGAACTATAAATCCCAGCAACTACAACTCCCAAATGACAAAATCAATTTTTTGAGCGAAGGACATACATTGGGTTGTTAGGTGTCTTGTGGCCAAATTTGGTGTCAATTCGTCGAGTGGTTTTTGAGTTCTGTTAATCCCACAAACGAACATTACATTTTTATTTATATAGATATATACATATACTAGCCCACCCCTGCCACATGTTGCTGTGGCCCAGTCTGCGTATAAGTGTTTTGTGAGTGTTTGTGTTTTGTGTGTGTATATATGTATATATGTGTGTATTTATATGTTTGTGTATATGTGTGTTTGCGTATATATGTAGTTTTGTGCATGCATTGTAATGCATGTTTTGGTTTTGGGCATTTTGAATCACTTCTGCTGTGTTTTTGTTTTTATGAGTGATGGTCACTCGTTGGCCCAATAGGTGTATTGTGTCCAAATTTGGTGTCAATTCTTCCAGTGGTTTTTGAATTATATTAATCCCACAAGCGAACATTACATTTTTATTTATATAGATATGTACATTTCAAATTTTCAATGAGTGGAACAAGGATTTACTGTCTGGCATTAGTCCTTTCCACCTTGTTCTGGTTAGCAGAAGTTAGATAAATTATGCAGAATGGGCAGAGAAGTGTATATCTACTGGATTGTCATAATGTATGCAGTTTGGGATTACTTTAGCATAGACCTTTTTGAAATATTTATAGTTTTGACAGTGGCACAAGATGGCTAACATTTCGACTGGTTCCTTCTCTCAAGGAGGTAACAAGCATGAGACAACCTGCTTATGAGCTCCTTTCTAAAATAGAAACATTATTTTAAAAAGGGTATAAGAATATGCCTGTGAGAGAAGGAAAATGATTTTTTGAAAAACCTATAGAATAGAATCTACCGTATATACTCGAGTATAAGCCGACCAGAATATAAGCCAAAGCACCAAATTTTACCAAAAAAAATGGGAAAACCTATTTCCTCGAGTATAAGCAGTGTTGGAAATGCAGCAGCTACGGGTAAATTTCAAAATAAAAATAGCTACCAATAAAATTACATTAATTGAGGCATCTGTAGGTACTACTCCTTTCCACCTAATTCCAAGGAGGCGTCTCAGGTGCTAGACGAGTGCCTGGCCGCTGTGTCGATCTGGATGAGGAAGAACAAGCTGAAGATCAATCCTGACAAGACAGAGGTCCTCCTGGTCGATCGTAAACCAGATCGGGGTATAGGGTGGTTACCTGTGTTGGATGGGGTTACACTCCCCCTGAAGTCACAGGTCCGCAGTTTGCGAGTCCTCTTGGATTCGTCTCTTACGCTTGAGGCTCAGGCGTCGGCGGTGTCCGGGAGGGCTTTGCACAATTGAGACTTGTGCGCCAACTGCGACCATACCTCGTGAAGGCTGATCTGGCCGGGGTGGTCCACGCCTTGGTCACCTCTAGAATGGATTACTGCAATGCGCTCTACGTGGGGCTGCCCTTGAAGACGGCTCGGAAACTTCAATTGGTCCAGCGGGCAGCAGCCAGGATGCTAACTGGAGCTCATTATCAAGAGAGGTCTACCCCTCTGTTTAAGGAGCTTCACTGGCTGCCATTTATTTTCCGAGCCCAATTCAAGGTGCAGGTGCTCACCTACAAAGCCCTGAACGGTTTGGGACCACCCTACCTGCGTGACCGCATCTCCATCTACGAACCCACACGCTCGCTCCTCGATCATCTGGGGAGGCCCTGCTCGTGATCCCACCTACGTCGCAAGCGCGCTTGGTGGGGACACGGGACAGGGCCTTCTCCGTGGTGGCCCCCCGACTCTGGAACGCCCTTCCAAAAGATCTCCGACA